TAAATTGGAACATTTTACTTTCGGTAGGTTTGAATATTTTATTTAAAAAATTTTTTGGGTTTTGGCTGTAGTGTAGTGTACCGGTGGTAAAAGTTCGGTTCGGTAAAAGTTCTGGTAAAAGTCCGGTGGTAAAAACTCGGTCCAGAATCATTTCCTAAAGTAGGGAGTGGTACCGTTTGACTAGCTCGCGAGTTGAATGAATCTAATGGATTACAGATGTAACGTCCCAAACTTTTACAACCGATACACTACAATATATCATGGTTTTTAATTAATAAATTTTAAAAATTAAATTTTTTAATTAAAAAAATAATTTTTCTATTTTTTATTTTTTAATTGCTTTTTACTTTAATAGTTTTTACTTCCTTTTTGTCTTTAAAATTCTTTCCGTTCCATTTTTTATTTTTTAGAATTCTTGACTTTTTACTAAAATTAAAAAATATACATATGTAATCAGGGTTGCCAGATGTACTTATTTTGGAAGTACTGTACTTACAAATCGACCTTCGTACTTACGAAATTGAAAATGTACTTATTTGTAAAAATGGAAGAAATATGGCTTAAGGACCTCCAAAATTCTCAAAATTTTCGCCTGCGGCGCTGAAAATGGAGGGAGTTTGTCTTATAGCCCTACAAAATTCTCAAAAATTTTTGCCTGCGGCGCAGAGAATGAAGAAATCTGTCTTATGACCTACCAGAATTTCCAAAATTTTTTCCTTTGGCGCTTATAAAACTCATTGGGATAAGAATATAAAACATTTAAGCTAAAATAAATTTTTTAGATTGTATTTTTGGAGCGTACTTATATTTTAAAATTTTTCACCCTATGTACTTCCAAATTGAACTTTTTGTACTTACAATTAACATTTTCCAGATGGCAGCCCTGTATATAATTTTGCTTTTTTAACATTTTTAAACCTTTTTTTGTTAACACTTGACTTGTTACGTTCTGTTATCTTAATTTATATTGAATAACTTACTTTTTGCCAATGGCCTGAACCCTTTAATTGTTAAGACAAACTCAACCCCGATAAATATGTAATTGATAGGAGGTCCACTCCTCAATAGTTAGAGTGTATTTATGTCTTAAATAATAGAGACCGGACTTTAAGGGTCGTATTAGAATCAAGATGATATCTCGAAGAATATCGATCTCGATTATCGATGGCAGATTTTTGTTCAAATTGTTCGGTCCCTAATTATTACCATTATATCCTAAATTAATTTAAATAAATCTAAAAATAATTTAAGATCTCAAGTCAAGTATTAGCTTTAGTAATTTTATAATTAAAAAGTTTTTTTGCTTTATTTTTTAAACACACGCAATTTTACCGCTTTTCTGCTTTTTTACCCCTAAAAACTTTTCTTTCCTAGAAATGTCTTTAAATATATTTTTATGCACATTTTGGTCAGTTGCACAAATCTGGCACGGCCACTGGCCTTAACAAATAAAAAAATAAACAAAAATTTTAATGTTGACTCAGGGGAAAATAAATATAAAAAAATGCACTCCAGCACGCACTTGAGCACACAAATAATAATAATAATTCTTACTTTTCTAAACATTTTTTACTCATTTCTACATATTAATTTGCTTATTTTAAAAAATTATAATTAAATATTTTTATTTTCTATTACATTGACCAGGGCTGATCGAAATTTCGTTCAGTTTCGCCCTTTCTTGCCCTTTTCCACTTCCTTCGGAAAAAAATTATTTCGTTTCGAATTGATCTGAAATTCTTTTTAGTTCGATCAGTCCTGATTCTGACCCTATACTTATACCTCCTTCGGATAAATTAATTAAATATAAAACTTTTAATAAATTTAAAAATGAATTGAAAAATATAATAAAAACAGTAAAAATTTTTTGGCTTTTAAAAATAATAAAAAAATTTCATAGAAAATCCCAATTAAATTTATTTTTATTTACAAAAAAACTTTTGTTTAATTATTTACAGTAGTGGACATAAAGATAGGGACAAGAGTAATTTAAATGCAAATTAACTATTTTTCAGTCAAAAAATACGTTCTATATATCAATCGAAAGCTCTATTCGTATCTCGGTTGACATGTTTCTGCATTTTTCATGAAATTGAAAATTGACCGAGATAATCCGGATCTACCGGATATACCAAATCCTATATCCTCGGAAAAATTTTTCGGAAAATATTTGTAAATGGAATTTGATAAAGCATATTTTTGTGAGTATTTTCCACAAAACCGCTTAGAAATATCTTTTTCCGGACCAGAGATATGATTTTTTGAAAATGGCATTTTTCCCTTAAAAATTGAATTTAAGGATAAGTATTAAAAAATATTTTCTTAGATTAATTTTTATTTACAGTAGTCGACAAAAAGATAGGGACAAACACAAGTGTAATGGAAATCACCTATTTTCTCGGTTAAAAATCAATTTTAGGAAAACTTTTTTATTTGATTAAATACTCCATTTAATTCTCTATTTAATAAGTAGAAAATTTGCCTGGTTAAAATTTTATAAAATCCAAACATTATTAAAAAACAAAAGATATGCTATTTTAAGCGCGACAAAAAGATAGGGACAAGTCTTGTAACAAAGTTTTCATAAAAGCAAAAAATCTACAAAAATTTGTGGAAGCATATTGATCGATACTAAGAAGAAATAAAAAAGAAAATTGCATAAGAAAATTGCATAATTTTTTGCAAAAATAGGCTAAAAATGCCATTTTCAAAAAATCATATCTCTGGTCCGGAAAAAGATATTTCAGAGCGGTTTTGTGATAAATACTCACAAAAATATGCTTTATCAAATGGGTTTGTTAAATTTGTTCCGAAAAATTTTTCCGAGGATATAGGATTTGGTATATCCGGTAGATCCGGATTATCTCGGTCAATTTTCAATTTCATGAAAAATGCAGAAACATGTCAACCGAGATACGAATAGAGCTTTCGATTGATATATAGAACGTATTTTTTGACTGAAAAATAGTTAATTTGCATTTAAATTACTCTTGTCCCTATCTTTATGTCGACGACTGTATGTTGACAGAAACTACTTAAATATTAACTTTAAATGCTCAGGCAATTATTTATTTCTAAAAAAGATTTTAAAATTAATTGGATTTTTTAAGCTCTAATGTACTTTCTGCATTAAAAAATTATTTTAAATATTTATTTTTGAAATTTCCCTTTTAAAGATTATTTTTTATTATAGAAATTTAAATTGAAAAATCGGCCCTATCCCAATATAAGGGCGGAATCGTTTTTTTCCATTACTTTTCATTACTTTATAAAAAAGGTCAATTTTCCTTAAAGTTGATGTATATTGATATTTGCCTTAAGGAAGAATGGAGGACAGACAATGACAGAAACACGGACGTGTACGTCCGTTTTTGTCTGTCCGAGTCTGCCCGTGTTTATCAGTCCGTGCTCGTCCGTGTTTTGTTTGTCCGAGTCGGTTCGTGTTTTTCAGTCCGTGCTCATCCGTTTTTGTCTGTCCGAGTCTGTCCGTGTTTTGGACAGAAAACACGGACGGACTCGGACAGACAAAACTCGGACGAACACGAACTAAAAAACACGGGCAGACAAAAACGGACGTACACGTCCGTGTTTCTGTAATTGTCTGTCCTCCATTCTTCCTTAAGGCAAACATCAACATACATCAACTTTAAGGAAAATTGACCATTTCTATAAAGTAATGAAAAGTAATGGAAAAAAACGATTCCGCCCTTATATTGGGATAGGGTCGAAAAATCGGTGTACGGAATTTTCGTCTCTGGAACTTTCGTCTCCAAGACTTTTCGGAACTTTCGTCTCCAACATTTTCGGAATTTTCGTCTCCAGCGGAATATTCGTCACCAAAGAAATAAACGGAATTTTCGTCTCCGCAATTTTCGTCTCCGCTAGGAATTTTCGTCTCTAGAAAAAAGGCTTTGGTCCGTCAACGGGGATGTTGTTCCGTCAACGGGGATAGTGTTCCGTCAACGGGGAAGTTGTTCCGTCAACGGGGATGTTGTTCCGTCAGCGGGGGATAGTGTTCCGTCAACGGGGGAAGTTGCCCGTCAGCGGAGGATAGTGTTCCGTCAACGGGGGAAGTTGCCCGTCAGCGGGGGATAGTGTTCCTTCAACGGGGGAAGTTGCCTGTCAGCGGGGGATAGTGTTCCGTCAACGCGGGAAGTTGTTCCGTGAACGGGGGAAGTTTTCCTCTGGAGACGAAAATTCCTAGCGGAGACGAAAATTGCGGAGACGAAAATTCCGTTTATTTCTTTGGTGACGAATATTCCGCTGGAGACGAAAATTCCGAAAATGTTGGAGACGAAAGTTCCGAAAAGTCTTGGAGACGAAAGTTCCAGAGACGAAAATTTCGGCACCCGAAAAATCTGTCTAAAGCATTGATTAGGATTATTCCGAAAGTAATTTTAAAGAGCGGACAGCGAAAGACGCATGGCGAAACTCGCACACCTCGGCTATTTATGGTATCAGTAGGGATAGGTATTGTGCGTTTTATAACTCCAGCTCCGAGCATTTAGAGATATTACTAGCTCCGGATCTAGCTCCAGGAGCCATATAATCCTATCGTCAAGATTTTCGATAATCATAAAATAATATGTCGTCTAAAACCGGCGTGAACAGAAAACACCCCTAAATTAATTTAGTAAATATTAAACTATTTGAGCATAGTCACAGCATTTAGTTTGTTAACATGCTCAATCTGTCAACATAAATTAAAAAATACATTAAAATTTAAACAAAATTTAACTAACAAATATTTTAAAAAATTCAAAAAATATTTCCCAATATTAGCTTCAGTTCCATCGGCTTCTCCAATTCAGCCAAAGTCTTCAAAATTGCTTTCTTCCGAATTAAATTTAATGAATTCTGACAATTATAACGTTCAAAGTACATCAACATCAAATGAGTATTATGGCCCCTCATCCTCAGAAATATTAAATGATCGAGAAGAGATATTATTAAAAACATTGGGGTATCATAATAGACGCAGAATTAAGTCGAAGCAAAAAGAAGAAAAAGGAAGAGAAATTGAAGAAGATGAAGATGAAGAAAGCCAGAAAATGGAAGAAGAAGAGAAAGAAGAAGAATCAAACTCCAGGCAAAATTATATCCCCAAAGGGGGTTGGCCTATGAGAACCAGAACTTGGCCAGATGGTAGAAGACTTGGCTTTGATGGACTCAAAAAATGGCAAAAATTGAGGCCTAAAATTATCCAACAAGAAGATAAAATTAAAGAAAAAACAAAACAAACAAAAACAACTAAAACTTTTAAAAGTTCCCCTTACACGCCTTCAACTGCCTCTACTAAAATCACTCTTAAAACAACAGAAATGCCTTTACAACGTTTTACGGTCGATCCGGGTATTAAGCCTGGACTGCATTTTACTTTCGGTAATCATACATATAAATGAATATTACTGCAAAATTAATACAAAAATTATTAAAAAGTTCAAAGTCTATTAGAATAACTTCTTGACTAAATTAGCCTAGCATATTTTCTTGAATAATTACCCTGGGTAATTATTTTATTAACTTATCTCCAGGGAGGGATAATTAATCAAGGGAGGGCAATCATTCGAGTTTTGTCATTTGAACGGGGGAGGCGGGGAATCCTGATAAATCTCCTAATGAGGATACACTAGTGAAGGTACTTAATGGGGTTAGTATGGATAATTAATCGAGAAAATACGGTAGAAGGGGCCATATAGGTTGCTTCTCTCCAGAGATAAAATAAAAGGAAATGTTAGCATAAATATTAGAAAATAAGTCTTTAGTAAGGGGAGATCGAATTAGTATTATAGGAATAGTTATCTATGATTAAATCTAGCTATGCCCTTCTGAATTTTTGAAATAATAAAATTAATTTAGAAAAACTTTTAAAAATTAGCACAATTTACCCTCATTTTAAATTCTCACTTACACAAATTCACCTAAAAGAATTGACTCTCTTTCCTAAGCAAAATTTCCGTTTTGTTGCACAAAAATGTATTTTTTGTTTTCCCTTTAATTTTTTATTAAAATTTTATTAACAAAAAATAAAATCTAGATTTTATATTAAATGTTCTCTTTTCCTTTGTTTTTTTTATTTAAAATTCTATATTTGAACTTTTGTTTTTATGATTGGTAAAATATTTAATGTGCGAATAGTGCTGCTGGAATCCTTAAAAATAAACATAAGGATAAAATCGAGAAACACTATAACATAGTCTCGACTGCCTCCCTCTCCCCTTCCCTCCCATACAACCATTATTTAAATAGTTCTAGCCAACACAAAAATAAATTCTCGATTTCGGGAATTAGGTCAGCCAGACACTACTTTCTTTTTAGTTAATTTACTGTACCTTAATTCTAACAAAAAAATTTAATTACTTAGGTATATTGTTTGATTGCAGTGTGCTTTTTTAGTAATAATAATATTTGTTTTTTTTGTTTTAATCTTATTTCCTTTTATTTAAAATTTATTTTATTTTTTAATCTTTCAAAAATCCCAAAAATCCTATAAAAATATAGTTTTTCGAAATTTTTTTTAAACGTATATAAGATACAATTATCTGTTATTTCATATGCAGATTTTAAATAATTTCTTACTGGGAACAGCTGAGCGTTTCCTAACTTGTTTCAGTTTGGAACCATCCGTGCTGAAGAACAAAGGATTTTTCGGTTAAGTTCTTAGGTGATTCGAAGATTTTCCATGTCCATCACCCTATTAAAATAATTGTATTAATTCTTTAGCTTTTAAATAGAACCGGATCGATACGATAGATGATTATTATAGTTTTTTGATAATCGAGATTCATCCAGATATCTCGTACGAGACACCTAGTCCAGCCTATTTTCCTATAAATTATTTATCAAATTAACTATCAATTAGAGGAAATAAAATTAAAAAAACTACCTGTAATTTTGTTATTTTCTACTAATTTTCTTTCTTAAATCTTGTCTGCACTAATTAGTTAACATTTCTAGGAAAGAAAGTCACTTCTTTAAACGGATTTGCTAAATTACTTATCTCTCTTCCCAACTAAAATTTATTCTACTTTTAAAAATATATTTAAGTGTTTTTTAATTTTGCAGTAAGATTCTTTTTAAAATTTAATTTTTTAACTTATCCCTTACAATTTTGAAAATTTTTAGCACCAACTCCAAAGCCTTCAACTAGCACTACAACTAGAAAAACTTTAGCTCCCCGCTTTCCCGTTGATCCTAATGATCCGACTTTGTATGCCGTTAGACCAACGACACCAATGAACGGCGCCTCTCAATACGGAAATACTCCTACTGTATGTTAATGAATAATTTGATATCAGGAAAAGAGATTGGGTTAAACATGATAATCTCTGGTAATCTCGACCATTTTTTCTGTGAAATATCGGCAAGATTATGAGACAGATTCTGAAACTGAATCTCTAGATAAATTAAATTTACTCTATCATCATACCTTAATACCAGAGCTGGCATTTTACGATCACAAGCTTTAATATCCGTTTATATCCTGGCACATTTTGATCTTATCCGTCAAAGGATATCTGCAAGTATCCAAGGATATCTGCAAGTATCTCCTTTTCAAGATTTATATCCATATCCGTCCTTATCCTCTGATATCCGGATATCTGCGGATATATCCATATTCGTGACAATATCTAGTAACCAGTAATTGCATTATTTTACTATTAAAATATATCAAAATAATTTTAGACAATGGTTCCTTCTACCTCAAACAATCAATTAGGCAACGATAAAAAATTTTTAATTGGAGGTAGTTTTGTGAATATTATTTTTAAGATATTCTTGAATTTTAGTCGGATCGCTTAGTATTGTTGTTATGCTTGGTGCCATATTACTCTGTGTCTTTTTTAAACGCCCTCATCAGATTTGTGCGCAAATGGCAGCAGCGGCAGCTGGAGGAGGTCAAGGAGGGGCAATTGGACAATCATCGACAAATGGCCTAAAATCTGGATATACACCAATTCCTCCTAATGAATTCTCTCCACAAGTTCAACATCATCAAATGAGAGAATTCGAAAGTAATAATAATGGAGTTGGTGCTCGTGTTGGAACTCTTGTGGTAATAATTCTAATAATTTTTTATGACGGGATCCATGTTTTTTGTCTATCGAGACAACTTAAGTTCGGTACAAACTTGCAATCGAATCCAATCTCGAGGTCGAAAACAGCTTAAAAAATCAGCTCGAAACCAGTTAAAAGTGGAAACCAATTCGAAACCAAAGGCGAACCAAACCAAACTGACATTCGTAACCAATTGAACCCAAACTCGAACTTGAAACCAGTCCAAGTTTTTTGACTATCAAACTCCTCAAAGAAAGACCGCCGGATATACTGTAGTGTAGCACCCACTCCAAAAAATTTCAAAACACATACCATTCAATTTGTCTCGGCGAGCTGAGTTGAATGGTACCACTCTCTTTCTGCGGAAATGCCTAAGAGCTGAGATATAGAGCTCAAAAGGGTCAAAAACCATAGGGGGTACCAAGCTGATTTTTGGGGTCAAAAATTCGAATATGCAAATGGCAGCTCATTCGAAAGAGCTCGTAGAGCTGAGTCGAATGACACCAAAATCACCGTGATTGAACAAGATTAGACAAAGTTACGACACAAAAACAAGCAACATGAACCTATGGGGCGTCGGCGAGGCGCTTGTGCAAAACTCCGCGCTTCGCGCGGAGTTTTGCGGCACGCGCCTCGCGGGGAGTCTACGGGCGCTGGGTCTGGGCTCGTAACATAAACTTATGCCTATTTTAGCTGCGGTCGGCATGTCTGGCTTCCTCCCCAGCAAGAAAAACCTGCACGTAGACCAAAGGTAAGGAGCTAAAACAAATACTCATAACTCTGTCAAATCAAGTCGGATTTCGTTAATTTTGGTGTCAATCGACTCAGTTCGACGAGCTCTTTCGAATAAGCTGCCATTTGCATATTCGAATTTTTGACCCCAAAAATCAGCATGGTCCCCTCTTTGGATTTTCGATTTTTAAGGACCTATATCTCAGCTCGTAGGCATTTCCGCAGATAGAGAGTATTACCATTCGACTCAGCTCGCCGAGACGAATCGAATGATATGTGTTTTGAAAATTTTTGGAGTGGGTGCTACACTACAGTACAGCCAGACCGCCCACTCCCTAACTCCTCCCCCAACTTAAAACCCCAAAAATTCTTGAGTTATACATAGAATAATTTTACATAGGATAGGTCATCATATTGTGAATTGAAATATTTTAATTATTTACGCAAAAAATAATCATTTAAAGGGTTCAACCCAAAGTTTATTACGTAATGGAAGTGGAACAATAGGGAATGGAAACGGCGCTTCGGCTGTTGGATTTACTGATAGATCAGGGGCAAGATTCACAACAATATTAGCTCAAGGTAATGGAGGAACTCCACGAGAAACAATTGCAATTTCAAGAGAAGCTCAACAACCAAAAAGAGAATTTAAAGAGTGGTATGTCTAGAATTGAGGAAAATATTAGTAGAAAATAGTGCTCATTTCAATCTAAACTTAAAAATTTTTTCATTGAAAATTTTTCCTAAATTAATAATTTTTTACCCAATTATCATTAAATTTTTTGTAATCTCACTTATCATTATACAATATTCATTTTTATAAATTTTTATCATTATGTATAATTTTTTACAATAAATATTATATTTATATTTATTAAAGAAATTTTTTTAAAAAGATTTAACATCAAAAAATATTTTGAAATTTTCATACTATGTATAGACAAAAAATTTTGGTCATCGAGAACGGACTTGGAAATATGTACGAGTATTGTATGAGAGATTTCTTTAAAAATCTTAAAAAATAATATTTTTGTTTAAGACCTCATCTCGACCTTTGGAGATATCGAGAATCGATTTCAATTCTCGTATGACATTTCAAGCCTGGTTTCTAATTCTAATATATTTATCTTTACTTTAAATTTTTTCATTCTTCTTGGTTCTTATTTCAATAAGATCATAAGGGAAAAGTGGATGATAGTTATTTGGCAATCTATCAATTTTATAATTTTCTGAATCAAAAATTTCCTTCATCAACACTTCTTTATTTTCTAAAATATTCAATTTAGGCAAAATTTCATATTTTCCATTTATCTTATCCAAGGGCTTCTCACTCAGCAACGCTTTATCCAACGTTTTATCCTTTCGAATAATCACTTCCTGTGGCTCCAAACAGTTATTTACAGACATATGTCTGCATGACTTATTTTTTGAATTATATTTTGAAGAACTCGTTTCAAGTGTCACTTTTGTAGGAAGTGACAGTTGTCTTCCAATTAAGTTTTTCTTCAAAACCATTCTTTCGCTGCTGATATTTGTTATTGCTTAAATAAATGAAATTATGAATAAAATATTTAAAATAAATCTTAGATAAGAACCAGATCGAGGAGTATAATTGGTCAAAACGTTGTTTGTGAACTTAATTTCCATGAAAACAATTAGTAAGATAAGTGTGAGAAGGCGTATCATATTCATGGAAATCGCCTTATTGTTTTCGTTGAAGATGGATTAAGACGGATTTTTAGACTGGATTTGCTTTTCTTAAAAATGATGAGTGATTTCAATGAAACCGATCTCTTATTTATAACCTTAAGAATGCCTTTTCAAAGAGATTGCACTTTTAAATAAAAACAGGCAATATGAAATACTCTTTAATTTTTTTGCCTATTTTGAAATGATTGGACTTCTGTTGATTTCAAAAAAATACACATGAAATCCTAAAACCCTTTCCATGTTTTCACGTAAATATGGATGCATTTTGAAGTTCATATTTCGTTGTAAGATGCAATATGTGATGGAATATATGATGGAATATATAGGCAAAACTCACCTTTAAATGACCTTTTAGCTTCAAATTTCAGTTATTGACAGTCTTGAGTCGGTAATTTCTTAACAAATGTAGTGTGAATGTAGCGTGAAAGGGAAATAATCAAAGGAAAATACAAGGGTAGTCAGGAGAATTTAATTTTGAAATTGAAAAACCGCCCAGATGCGGCATTAGCTACTCCCATCCAAAAAAGAGGAATAAATACGCGGTTAATTTCAAAGAAAAATCATAATTAAAATTCTCCTTTTCAAGGAAATCCAGCTTTAAATTTAATAATTTTCAACTAAAATTATTTTAATATTTCACTGAATTAAAAGAAAAATCATGAGGACATTCAATTCGATGAAAATTTTGAGCATCTGTAAATTTGTGTTGTTAGTTTTCCTCATTATTATTCTACGTGCTACACGAGGAGTACCTGTTGGAGTTATTCCTACTATTGCCCCTTTACAAGGTGATCCTTTTTAAACAAAATTTAAAAATTCTAGTGTGGTATAGGTAAAAGTCTTCTGGTAGTTATCGCTAGGATATTTCGCTCACATTCAGCACGTCCACCTACTCTTCTAATGTATTTTAAACCTCCGCTTAGTAAGCGTTTTAAATGCTAGCCTGCTGGATCTCTCTTCTTTCCTTTAATTTTCAATTTATAAATTTAGCAAAGTTTCCAATTAGTCACAACGCTGCTAGAGTCGGGCACAACCGAAATGGATCAGCTTTAAAAATAAATTCATCAGCAAGCTCTAACAATGGACCAGTACATTTGGCTATGGCTAATCAAAATAATCCTCAGTCTGTTATTGTCTCACAAAATCAGAAACAATTTATTAATCCAGCAACGCTTGATGAAAAAGTGCTGGATCATAATGTGCAACATGCGAACGCTAATGAGCATTATAAGCTTGAAGACAGAATTGCTACAAAAGCTGAACGTGACTTTGAAGCAGGCGAAGAAGAATACATAATGAATGCATTGGGTGAAGCAATCACTATTAAATCTCCAATGAAAATGACCGGGATAAATTCAAAATACTTTCATGAATTTGTGAATATGATCCAAAGTGATCAGCCAACAGTTTCAAAATTCAAACAGAATCCTGGATTCAAAAAATATATTCTTGAGAACGGGATCAAAACTATCTTGGAGCTTGCCGAGTATGATGCCCTTAAAGAAAACCACTCTGAATTCTTTCAAAAAGCACTTGATTTGTTTAATGAAGAAGTTAGGCTAGAAAAATACACAATGGCTGGCAACAAATTGTCAGATGAGGAAAAGGAGGAAAGTTTGAAAAATATGACATTTGAAGGAACAACCGAAGAAAAATTGATGAAAGAAATTTTGAATGTTTTGAATGTTCTAGAACCAGAACAGAGTTTGATTAGAATAATGTACAAGCATATTAGTGTTTTAAATCAATGCATTCACTTTTTAAAACAACTCTTCTCTAAAGACTTTGATGTTGTGGCTGATAATGAAACTAAAACATCTAGAGCGATGAAATTAGAAATGATTGGGAAAATGGAAACATTGAAAAAGAGTAAGTTTATTAAAATAAAAGCTGAAATGTTTATTAAAGAGAACCGAGATATCGGATATCTGAGATCCAAGATATCGGATCTCTAAGCTGATAACCTGAAATACAAACGAGAGTAATGCTAAAAAAATGCTAGTAAATAAATGAAAGCGAACAAAAACGAGAGCTAGTTTAAACCAAGCATGGTCATGGATACGGATATGAATACAGATAATATCAAAATGCCTGCGGATATCCGCCTGTATCCGTCTGTATCCGCCGTAAATACCAAGATCCGTATCCGTGACCATGCCTGGTTTAAACCACTGTGAAAATGATAATGATTTCTAAATATTTTAATAATTGGTATTGGAGAATAGGAGGTAATTATTAGAACAATTAACAGAATAAAGATACTAAATTTAATTTTCCTTTAGTTTTGAATAGTACTCAGAAGTTTCTTTTATTAATAAAGCATGGAAGGATTTAGAGAAGAATTCAGTGGATTGCATATATAAGCTAAAACAAAAAAACATTTTTGCTAATATTTTTCTTTTTTAATTAAATTATATCATAAAATCTATTTAAATAAATCTTACTATTATTTTATAAATTATTTAAAAAATGGGTACATTCTGAATTTAATCCAGTCTTATTCAAAAACTGGGCATAGCCGAATTATCTAGACATGCCAAATAGGCTGAAATGCCTATTTGGCATGTCTGAAATGCCGAATTATCTAGACATGCCAAATAGGCTGACATGCCAAATAGGCTATCTTGCCAAATCCTAAAAATCCTAAACCCATCGGTGTTGGCTCCGCGCTTGTGCAAAACCACGTTAGAGCAACATTTTTAATAAATTATTTATATTTTGACTTGGTGGGCCAACAAGAGAGAAATTAGTTGTAATTAACAGATGAAAGAATAAAAAAGTACTACGGCACATCCCACACACATATTCACTCATTTTACTTTGTGCCAGCCATATTTTTCCTCAGTTCAATTCTTTATTTATCTTGCTTCGAGCTTACAACTTCATTCCCTTCATTTGCTTTCCCCTTCATTTTTTATCATTGTTTTAAAATAGATAAATATTTTTGGGAAACTTTTTTAATCATATTATAATATTTACCTTTCTGACTCCATCCGTTGGGTTCACCCCAGTTCTCGAACGAGACCTAGGTGAACGCGGTGGGTCCGTTCCGGAAAGTTCTAACTCTTTATTAAAACTCTTTTTTTAACAAAATATATTTTTTTATTCTTCGGGGAGGGTTTTTTTGATTAAAAATATAAGAATGAAGTGGGAATAATCGAGAGTGTGAAAAGAGGTGGGCTTTGTGACAGCTGTTATTTTATGCTATCACACATATCAATAAAGGTTAAGCTGATAAATGATCGGGGTCTCCGCTACGATATGTATATATATGACAGATTATTCGGAATAAAAATTTAAAATTTTATTTGGCTTTTCAATTGAATTTCTCAGAATATAGAACATGGTGAAATAATGTGATGGTAGCAAAAATTACTTTATTAATCTCAAAAAATTTTATTTATCAATTTTCAACATTTATTCATAATTTTGTTAATAGCTTCTAAGTTATAGTAAAATAACTCCAAACTTCCCCCAGTTCTTGTCAAAATAACGGGCATCCTTTCTTTAATTTTATCAGCGAATTTTGTTAAAATATTAGATTCTTCATTGTTTTTACCCAATTCCAAATCTTCTATTTCATTATATGTTTCAATTCCAACCCACCAATGTTGGATATAATATCTACTGAAATTATTTTATATAAGTAATAATTATTTGTGTTTTTAATAAGTTGGTAATGTTAGGGAAGAAAAAGTCGAACGATGCTGTCGACTGAGCGGATGCTATTATAGCAAACTGTTTGGAGCCTTAAAAAACCCAATAACCGTTTAAAAGAATCACTCCAAAACGCCCAAAATAACCATCGGAACGAAACAAGATACAGCGCAACTAAGTGTCTCTCAAAATTATCTACTTAAAATAACTATCTACTTAAAAATTCCGATTTCTGACTTCCTATTTCCGACACCTCTGACTGTTCTAAAATTTTTTCTACTTTGAAATTCCAGGATAGTAATGTTTAGAGACAATACTTTAGGTGTCGTCGATAATATCGGTATCGATATCAAAAAATATCGATTATCGATATTTTTATCGATATATCGTATCGATCCGGTCTCTAGTAATTTTGTTCCAAAATATAAAATTACCCATATTTTATCTTAATTTCGTTTGGCAAACATTTTTCCTTATCAGTAGAATGTGTATATTTTATCTCCCTTTGATTCAGTTCTATTGAAAAAATTAATTCTAAACGTATACGACTCTCAACAAAACGGCAATAATTTTCAGCTCCTTTAGGATCATTTTTATTTACAATACACAAAATCAACAAAAAATGATTATACTAAAATTTATTTATTTATTCTATTTATATTAATAATTAAAAACCTTTTTCAAGAATTTAGTACCATCAAACCAATTTTTCCAAAAATTACTAAATTCCTCGTATCCCCTATTCATATTTTTAGCATTCATAATCATATTATTTGCTAAAAAATAAAATTTTATGCAATTTTTAAGGATGGTCGAAAGTTTAGAGAAAATCTGCGATATTCTAAGGTGTAGATTCATTATCTGATATTTTCTATAAATGTCATAAAGTCCTCGATCTAAGACAGCTTTAAAGTCTTAAGGTCTGTCTTAAAGTCCCCGAAAATTTCACTCTCTCCGTATCTCTTTTCGTCGAACTTTTTGCGCTTATTGTTAGGAGAAAATTTCGTTCTAGATTCGATTATCCCAAAATTTCGTTTCATATATCGGATTAGGGTATTCAGAGATTTACCAGTAAGGTATCCCAGGGAGATATCCAAGGAGATTCCCCTATAGTTTCGTTTTTTTCTTCCAATTTTAAAAATGTAGGACGCCCATGCATGTCGTACACACTAATGGCATAATCAAGTTATCCAAATTATCAAAGTACTAGATACAAAAAGTAGATAGGTATAGCATTTAATACCTTTATTTAATTCTTTTTGAATAATTTGTTTGGTCGAATAATTTACATTAAAAGCACAATTTTGTTCTGGATAACCAGGGATTAACACGACCATTAAAATATCGAAATGTCTTTGTAAATAAATCTTTTCCTCTTCTGATCTTGCAACATATTTCATCAAAAAATCATTTTTAGCCTTAATTTCGTCTTCGACAGTCCAACTGATTGTTTTTTGTGTTAACTCGACAAGTTTAACTTGATAATCCCAATCCCTAAAATTATGAAAATGCATTGACTTTTAATTTGAATTAAAAACCATTCACTATATGTTTGAAAAAATTTTTCTAATAAATAAATTATGGTGGAATCAAAATAAAGCAATACAAGTTTAATAACAAGCACATTCAGTGTTGCTCCATTGAAGAAACCAAATTGTCCATTATATATGAAATGATCTAAATATTTAGAACATATTTAAAATATTTGTAAATGTACTGATAAATCTGACTAGATCCGAGACAAAAATCTCCAACTAAAATCGCTAAAATCTGCAGCTAAAATATCGATCATATGATCGATATTTTTCGAGATAATGATTTGAATTTTAGTACATACTCTAGTTTATAATGACCTCGTTCCCGATACAGATCCGACTTGAGATTGGCCGAAATCGGGATTTATCATTTGATCTCTCGATCAACAAAATCGGTATCGGGATATAAAAAACCTTGATAATCCCGATAGTTGATATCTATACTATATTTGAGGTTCGCTTGGCCCCTTATCTACTAATGGGTGTTTAATATAGTAGTTGTATAACTTTAATAATAAATTCCGAAAATTATTATTAAAATTAAATTTTACTTTTCGCCCATCTCTTCAATGTCTTCGTAATAAATTGAAATTTATTCATATTATCATTTACATTAATCATTTGTTGCATAATTTTATTTGAATTATATGAAGCTAATGAATAAATTTGGCTTTTAATTTCTTTAATTTTTTCTCTATTTTCTGGTAATCCTTTGTTTAAATTTAATACTTCTAAATTTTCGGCAAATCCTTTAATTATTTCTTCCACTTGCTCTTTATTTAAATTAATTATTGGAACTAAATTTTGATACATTTTTTGCTCAATTATTACAAATGAAATGTCAAATTGAGTTTTATTCATAGAAAATTCTATTATTCTGTTTCGTGTGTGAATACTTTTTCGAAGATTGTGAATTTTATAGTTCTAAATTTAATTTATAAAGTTAAAGCTAAAGAAAGGTTTAAAAATGGGGATCGTATGAACAGGGCAGGGAAGGTCTTATTAGAACCTTGCTCACACAAATTGAGGTGCTCTACCTCGGAGCTACAGTGCGTAGACTAATGCTATCCCTTTCATTTATCCTTTTAGTTCGTTTACTCAGGCCTAAGCATTTTAAATGCTCTAGTTGAATCATCCTTACAATTTCAAAAAAAATCTCGGTTATCGAGTTGAAATCTTTCGAGATATCTCGTAATCTAAATGACTCTCTATGGGCAGAAATTTTATGTTTCACGATTTTTTAAGATTCGAAATTTTTCCAAATATTTCTAAAAATTCTCATAAAAAACTCTCATAAGTTCGGTCTTTAAAAATATTACTTTGCACAAATAACAATACAAAGAATTATCATTACATTGTACTTTACCAAAAGTATATTTACACAAATCATTATTTGGACTTCCATAAAATTGGATTAATTTATTAATTCCACAACCATCATTCTCTTTTATGGTTAAAACAACAATTGCATCAACATCAGAGTCAGAAATATCTGTTTTTAATAATTGTGATCCGGTCAACAGAAATTCAATATAATAACATTTGGATAAGCTAGCCCATCTTTTAATAGTTGAAACAACATAATTGATATCAGAATTTGTATTATTATTAGTAACAATAGATGAAGAATTTATATGGTTAATAAGCTTTAAAAATAAAATAATTTTATAAGAAAAATTTTTTATAGAAAAACAAGCTTCCTCATTGACACTATTTCTAAAAATGATGGGCGTCCATGACTCTTTTATCAATAGTTTATTGCAATTTCGAAGCATAGAAGCTTCAAAATAACTTAATTCCGAAGCGTTCAATGCTTCTTTGTGCCTTTGTATAAGGACATGTGATATTGTTAAGATAATACTTAATAATCTGACTAAGAAGGCAGTTCGAACAAATATCTCCACTATCGTGATGGAAAATTTTCTAGATCAGTGTCCAGTCTCTATTCATAAGCCCTCAGTGTCCGGTCTCTAATCATACAAGCCTAGTTATTCCTTGGTCCTCACTTAATTGTTATCTACTTAAACTAGATAAATTATTGTTATTTTCTATTGTCATATCTGTATACATATTAGTATCTATTTCAATCATTCCACCAAAAGTGATTTATATCAACTAAGTAAAGAGGCAACTTTTAGCTTATAATGTTTGAGATGAGGGTATTATAATATTGTTAACAATTTATTATCCTACAGAATTTAGTGAATCCCTCTTTTGAACATAAAAATAAGGTAATTCTTCAAATATTGGCAATTCCTTTATTTTACCCATTTGCTTATTTGATTTTAAAATGTAATTATTATTATATTATTCTACATTTATTTATTTACACACCTATCAGTTTAAGCTGCATTTCTTTTATTTTATATTGTTGGATAAATGTTGATTCAACAAAATTTTTTGAAAGCAATGAAAATAAAATTCTTTTTTGTTGTTTTTGTTTCATTTGATCCCACCGACTTTTTGTAATTAATAAAGCAAGCCTTCACATTAAAAAATTTTTCGAAGAATATTTTTGTTTAACAAAAATTATTAGATGTTCACCCCGTTCCCCATTCCTCTTACTCGTACCACGACCATATTTTGCTTACCAGTACCCCGCCCAGAAACATTTCTAAACATCATACCCCGACAATCCCGCCCCCGAGTTTTCGGTGCAAATCCTAAAGATTATTGTGCATTACTGTATTTGCTCGAATAATTTCATTCTCTCATACAATAACCCCCCATCTCCACATTACCCCCTCTATCAGTGAAAAGCTCTGTCTCAATCCCCGAATAATTAACATTTTTTGATTAATTACCACGAGTTGGAAACAATAAATATTTACCAAGAGTAATTGTTAGAGAATACTTATTCGAGATTATCTCTGTATTTAAAGCATCACTGATACATGTGTATGAAAAATCCTAGTCCGAATATTTTAAACAAACTTATTAGCATACCTTTTCTTGTGTAATTTGCTTTTAACTACATCAATTTCAATATTATAGTCAATTTTTATTTCATTTTTTATAATTTTAAAATCATAACCATCCAATAATAAAAACAATTCTTTCAATAATAAATGCAATTTTTTGTTTATAACTTCAAATTTTTCAAGATCATCGATGAAATTATCGTTTTCTTTTAATAATTTAATAAAATCTTGTTCTAATGAATATTCATTTTGACATTTTTGAATAATTTTATTTTTATTTTTCACTAAAATTTCATGTTTATATAATTTTTTATATAATATTTAGGTAAGTTAAATTAGTTTTAGATGCGAATCTGAGATACCTAATCCATAAATTTTTGTTGATTTGACTAGGTGACTCAAATAATTACTATTATTAACGAAGTAAATATTTTTAAAACTCCAGCTCGAGGGGATAATTATCATTATGCCAATCATACATTTTTGAAGAAAATAAGCTAAGTGTAAAAGAAAATGTCAAATCCCTACCTCCTAAACTTCCGAATAAATTTCTTGATGAATTTTTATTCTCTTCACAATTTAATTCGACATCAATCTTATTTTGTTTGAATCTCTTGAGTTGATCAAAACGTTGTTTAATTTCATCAATAATCACTCCAATTTCCAACGCTGGAATTATTTTCTTTGGATCCCCTTTATCTCCAATAAATTTTTCATACGCTTCGAATAATGCTTTTTCCTCTAAAAACATTTTTGGATGAAAAGGTGTAAATTTTGGAAATGCTTTGAAGTTTTTATGATTTCCTTTTGAAATTCCTTCAGTAAATGGAGCAAGATTATTATCGTCTTCTTCACCATTTTTCAAAATATTTTTGTCTTTTTTATTAATTATATCATGTTTCTCTTCTTCATTATTCCGATTTTTAAATAATTTCTTGTCATTATTACTCAGTAGATCCTCGTTAGCTTCATTTAATTCTTCATTATTTTCAAAATCTGCAATCCTTTCTTCTTCTATTCCTTCTTCCAAATCTACGTTTTTTTCTTCTTCCAAATCTTTGTTTCCTTCCTCTCTCAATTTTTCATTGTTTTCTTCTTCCAATTCAACTTCGAAATCTTCAATTTTTTTATTATCGGAAAAATTTTTAATTTTATTATCCTTATTGTTTAAATATTTTAAATCCATCTTCTTACTATTATTCAAAGCTAGTAATGATTTAATATCTTCATCCTCTTTTATTTTTAATTTCTTGAATTTTTCTTCTTCTCTGATTTCCTTTTTCTCTTCCTTTCTCCATTTCAGTTCATCTTT